AGAGTCATGCTTCCACGCCAGAGCGCCGCCTCACGGGGGACGGTGAGTCCCCGGCACCTGGGCCTGGGAGCGCCCCTGACTTTAAAGGCCCTGGAAGTGGGATAACATCTGAGAACTTTATTTTATTCACTTATTTTTAAAATATACTTTTACTGATTTCAGAGAGGAAGGGAGAGGGAGAGAGAGAAACATCAATGAGAGAATCATGGATCGGCTGTCTCCTACCTGCCTCCTACTGGGGATGGAGCCTGCAACCTGGGCATGTGCCCTTGACCCGAACCAAACCCAGACCCTTCAGTCTGATGCCCTATGTACTGAGCCAAACGGGCCGGGGACATCCTAGAGCTCGAAGGGTCCAGAGGTGCACCGTGTGTGTGTGGGGGGGTGTTCTCTGGTCCCCTCCCATGTTAACTTCTCTCAGGGCCGCTGAGAGCTCCTGTCCACGGGAAATAGCTGCTTTGGTAGCAGCTGGTCTGTGGGTTAACCCTCCACTGAAGCTGGTGACACACTCTCACTCTGCCCCCGCACTACACTGTGAGTTGTAGTCACTTCCTGTTCTTATGAGCAGAAATGCCCCACCGCATGGTTACTTGTTAAAAAAGAAAAAGAAAAAGAAAGGGGAGAGGAAGGGAGGGGTGGGGAGGGCTGGAGAGGGGAGGGGAGAAGAGGGGAGAGGAAAGGAGGGAAGGGGAGGGAGAGGAAGGCAGAGCTTGGCTTTTGCAGGCTCATTGGTGGCTGCTCAGAGATAAAGCCCTCTCCCTGCCGAGTCAGCTTTCAGGAATTCTCCGTTTGTCTGTGTTGTGTTACCCAAGCAGCTTGTTATCTTTGCAGCTTAAGGGCTGACTTGGAAATTCAGACTGTCAACTATTTAAAGCACATGGAAGTCCCCACTCCACTATTTCAATGAACTCTCAGCGAGGTTGCCTGCTGGTTATGACACCGTTAACTTAAAATATTCCCCAGGAAGCAGGGCAGGGAGCAGAGCGGCATGGTTAAAGGCCTTCTGGGAAGAGGAGCTGAGGAAGGCCAGGCAGGCAGGGCCGGCGGCGGACAGGGAGGAAGCACACACAGAGCTCAGCAGCTATGGGAATGGAATGGATAATGCAGGCTCGGAGCGCCTTGCTGACAGTGGGCTGCTGGAGGGTGGTCTGTGCGATGAGAGAGATAAGAGATTGATGGAATCAACAGCAAACATGAAGCTCCCATCCTGGGGTAGTGCTGGCATAGAGCTGACTTGGGACTCACTGGCCATGTGACCACGTCTCCTAGGCCTGCAGTTGTCATCTGCTCACTTGTTAAATGCAGATTGAATGCAATCAGGGTGGATGTCTTAAATAATGTCGTAAAAAGCACTCAGACAATATACACACTTGCTTTTATGGTTAGGTTGGGAGGAGGAGAATGAGCAGTCTGGGGGTTGATAAAAAAGACAAAAGAAGGGAGCTGACAGACAGAGAAAAGGATGGACGGATGGACAGGCAGTACTTAGAGATGACGCAGAGGGAGGGGTGGTGCAGGAAGAGGTGGCTGGGAGCCAGGAGCAGTGGAGTGCAACTGGACACACTCAGCTTGAGAAGAGGGAGACAGCCACAGAGGTGGTGGGCCAGAGCAGCCTCCACGTGCTCGGACTGACAAAGCCATATTGCCCTGCTCTGGGAAGAGTGTGAGGCCTCTGGTCTATGTTTCAAGCTCAAAGCAAACTCAGCGAAGTTCTAAAAGCCAAAAGCTGCAGCCATGTGTGGACAGGAGTCAGGGGAATGTAGAACTGCCCGAAGCCTCCTTTCTGGAGCTGTTCCTGTGAGGGAGGCCCTGGTGCACCAGCATCCTCCATCCCAGGCTGGGCTGCTCGGTCCAGGCGTTCAGATGGCACTGGGATGGCTATGAATTTTGTATAACTGTAATTTAGCGGTATCAAGGGTGGAAACATTTCATTTCAGCACTTTGCCTCCTTTAAGGAATTCCCCTTTGCTTGCTTCTACCTGAGAAACATCCCTTAAAAAAATAATCACAGGTAACCACAGTCCCAACTACACAAAGTTGCTCACCACAGCATTATTAATGCTAGCAAAAAAAAAAAAAAAAAAAAAAAAAAAAAGAGAAACAGTTCATATTTGAAATAACAGGGAAGTGGCAAATTGTGTCCATCAAATTGATGGAATATGAACGTGGCAGTTGCAGGAACTGTTCTAAGCACTTTGTAAATTTTAATGCATTTAATCTTCATAGCAATCTTATGGGTAGTATACTGTTACTATGCCCCATTTTACAGATGAGGAAACTGAGCCTTTGAGAGTTTAAATAACTTGCTCAAGATTACACAGGTAAAAAAATTTTAAAAGATAAGAAAAAGTCCTAGCTGGTTGTTCAATGGTTAGAGCATTGGCCCATGGACGGAAGGGTCTGGGGTTTGATTCCTGATCAAGGGCATGTACCTCAGTTGTAGGCTAGATTCCCACCTGGATCAGGGCGAGTACAAGAGGCAACCAATCAATGTGTCTCTCTCACACTGATGTTTCTTTCTCTCTTCCCCACCCTCCCTTCTACTTTCTCTAATAATCACTGGAAAAATACCCTCAGGTGAGGATTAAAATAATAATAACATTACACAGGTAACCAGTAGCAGACCTGGGATTTGAGTGAGGCTGTCTGGTTCTAGCATTTTTGATCTAAACATGGCACAACATTGCACCAAGGTATTTTATTTTGCCCGATTTTCTTAAATTAGTTTTATAACAACGCTCTGGAAATAAAATATATCCTCTCCATCAGGGGAAACCAGATAGCAACTCAAACTCTGTTTCATTATAAACCCAATGACCCAAGTTCACATTTCCCGTTCGGCCTCTCGTCAGCAATAACCAAATGACAATTTACAACATCTTTCCACATCATTCATCTTCTCAAAACCACAGGCAGCCTTGCCTGGGTTGCTCTGTGGTTGAGTGTCAACCCATGAACCAAGAGGTCACCAGTTTGATTCCTGGTCAGGAAACAAGCCTGGGTTTGGGGGCTCGATCCCCAGGAGAGGGCATGCAGGAGGCAGCTGATCAGTGTTTTTCTCTCTCATGGATGTTCCATCTCTCTACCCCTTCTCCTTTCTTTCTAAAATCAATAAAAATATATTAAAAAGATTTTAAGAACCACCCAGCAAAGTTGCTATTTCATTAATCCAGATTTACAGATGAGAAAACCGAGGCCCAGAGGGACAAATGGCTCACTCCAGGGCCTGTTGCCAATTTCTTGACTCCCAATCCCATGCTCCTGTTGTTCAGCATGACTTAGACAATGTCAAGTCCACGTCCCCGTCACTTCAGGCCAGCAATCACTCGGGACCCCACCAGGACCACGCCGAAGTGAAGAAAAGGGACTGGTTTGGGCTTGGCCAGGCTAACGGGCCAGCCTGCAGCCTTAGGCCCAAAGGTCTGGAAGACCACAGAATGCTCCTCTGGGCCTTACAGCATGTGGAACCCCCTTTCTTTCCTGTTCTTTCCCCTGACACCTCAGTGGGCTTCTCCAGACCCACCTTAATCCCAGAGTCTCGTCAGAGGTTGCCGAGAGATGGGACAGGATGATGATAATGAAGAGGGCAATAATGGTATTATAGTAATCGATAATAATAAAAGCATAATATGCAAATTAGGCCAGACATCCTTCTAGACAAAGTCGGGGCTCCGAGGGAAGCCCGGGTCCCAAGTGCCAGAGGGAAGCCGGTGCCAGCAGTTGGGGGAAGGAAGGCCTGCTCTTGCATGAATTGTGTGCCTCTGGCCTCTAGTTAAAAATAATAACGAGAGTGTAGAGAGCTCGCTGCAGCCAGAGGCCGCCTGGCAGTGTCTGCAGACACCGAAGCCCACCACCGTCCCGGTTGGCTGAGGGAATGAGCCAGAGGGAGTGAGCCAGAGCCTGCCTGGGAGGAGGTGGGGGAGGCAGGGCTGGCCACCTCACTGCAGAGCACTCAGGCCCGGGCCTCCTTCGTAAATCACTCCAGACTCAGCCCCACGCGCATTCCTCTCATATCTGATCTTCCCGGGAACCGGCTCCCCCGGGAGAGAGCCCAGGGAGGACCCAGAAACCAATCCATCCTCACTTTATCTCCTGACATTTCCTTTTAATTACGAAAATGCTGCTGCCTGGTTTTCATAATTCCTTCAGACACATTTCCTAACCCGGAACGACTTTAAAACACGGTGAGCACACGCGGAGCTGGCAGGAGTGGCAGGCGGTGTGCACCCCAGTCGTCCTGCCAAACCCCAGGGGCAGGCAGACAAGGGGCGTGGGGGCTGGGGGAAGAGCCACTCTGGGCTGGAAGGCGGGCTGGAAGGCATTAACTCGCACCAGTCCCTAAGGGGCACCGGGCCCAGAGGCCTGGCTGGGAGCGCAGAGCTGATCTGTAAATAATCTGCGGGAAGCCTGCGGAGTCGAACATTAACTCGCAGAGGCAGGCTTCCCGCGGTGACTGGCCCATGAGTGATTGGCCCCTGGTCCTACTCACAGGCAGAGGCTAAAGCCAAGCACAAACCCTGGGAGCAGCCAGCCGCAGCCAGACCGAGTCTGGGTGGCCACGCTACAACTGTCGGGTCAAGTGTGTGCAGGGTGAGGCCGGGGGCAGCTGCAGACAGAGCCCAGTAATCCCTAACGCAGCAGCTGACGGGCTCACGCTCTCTGTGTTTACGGTCTAACTCTTCAAACACAGGGTTATTATACGTTTCAAAAATCAGCACTGGCTCCCAAGGCTTTTTATAGATGGCTTTGTCGTGCTAACAGAGGACAGAAAGTGGAACTTGGAGGGCCTCTCATTACAATTCACCGTCACTCTGGACTGGAAAACGGTGAGAAAGCTTCGCCGCCGGATTCGTTAACGGGGGGAGAATAGGTCTCTCTTTGAAGAGGGCAGCCGTCTCAGCCTCATGCCTGGGAACCTACTTTCTTTTGATTTTGCATGCGTGGTCATTCAAGGGAGCAGAAAGAGACTCACAGTGACGTCAGGGAAGAGAGCACTTTACCTGGAGTAATCCCCTTTGGCTTCCTGGAATAAAGCAGAGACAGACGATCAGTGTGTGTGCATGTTAATTACGCTAAAAGGTACATTTTACTGGCCCTTTGCCCTCTCACAGTCCCCGCGTTCTGCTCTATTTGGAAGAACGGACACAGAGAACACTTTCTGTGACCGCCGGGAAGAACGTGGCGGGTCAGAAAGCGCCGGTAGCCAGGAAGAGACCGCTGTCTCCTCTAAAGCACAGCCGGTTATTTGCTCCGAAGAGCACGTGTGAGTGCTTGCCTGTGGGAGCGGCGCCCCTTTTAAACCCCGACCAGGTCCGTCAGACGCGCTGTTTACCCTTTTTAAGCCAGCGTGGGGCAGCTCACTTGGTGGTTTGGGTTTTTGTTTTGTTTTGTTTTGTTTTGTTTTTTAGCTACCAGTGCCCTGTAACCCAACCTCAGGAAAGTGTCTACAGAAGTTACCAAACTTAAATGTAGATTATGGCCCTCCTGACAACGGCGGCCGCCTCCTGAACTCCAGGCCCGGGAGCCCTGCCCACTCCTCCTCCGTCCGGAGCAGCCTAAACTTCCTTTTCCTTTGCGATCCAGTCTCTCCCCGCGGCTCACGCAAACCGTGCTCACACAGAAAACGGCCGCTCGCATTTTTCACTGGCAAACAACCAGCTGGCTTACAGACCACCAGCCACCGGCCCACGCAGAAGTTTCCGAGTGCCGGCCGTTCACAAAACCAGCAAACAGAAGGGAGCGGTCAGGTCTTACCTGCAGGGCCAGCGCCGCTAGCCTGAAGACGGTCTCGCTGTCCACCTCGATCTGCCCCTGTGGGGAGAGAGAGCACCGTGAACAGCCGCCCTCCTTGCAGCAAATGCGGGAGCCGGGGAGCTGTCACCGCTTGGCACCTCCGTCTGCGATCAGAGGCAGAGCATACCATTGTGTGAGAGGGAGGGGGCGGGCAGGGCGCCTGCAGGGCTAAGAGGAAGCCACATTGTGTGCGTGGTGTGTGTGTGTGTGTGTGTGTGTGTGTGTGTGTGAGAGAGAGAGAGAGAGAGAGAGAGAGAGAGAGAGAGAGAGAGCGAGCGCGCGGAGGGGAAGGGGGGAGGCAGAGAATTAGCTGTGAGAGTTTGCTTAGAAAGCACTTCTGGAAGGAACATGAATGACTTTGAGGCTGAAAATCCAGACAACATCTAAAACAATAATTGTTACCTCTACAGGTTCATTTTTAAACTAAAGATTTTCTTAGATTAGTTAAGTGTTTTCCTGAGAATTTTTTTCTCTGTGCCATAGCATGCTTATTTTGGTATATACACAATGTAAATATTTAAAAAACTATATAAATTCACCTCACACCTGTCAGAATGGCTACCATCAATACATCGACAAATGGCAAGTTGCTGGAGAGGATGTGGAGAAAAAGGAACCCTAGTACTCTGCTGGTGAGAATGCAGACTGGTGCAGCCACTGTGGAAAACAGTATGGAGTTTCCTCCAAAAAACTAAAAATGGAACTCCCATTTGACCCAGCGATCCTACTTCTAGGAATATATCCCAAGAATCCTGAAACACCATTCAGAAAGAATGTATGTACCGCTATGTTCACAGCAGCATAATTTACATTAGCCATGATCTGGAAACAGCCCAAGTGCCCATCAGCAGATGAGTGGATAAAAAAGCTCTACAACATGGAATACTATGCAGCTGGAAAAAAGAAGAATCTCCTACCCTTTGAGACAGCATGGAGGGACCTGGAGAGCATTATGCTAAGTGAAATAAGCCAGCTGGAGAAAGACAAGTATCACATGATCTCACTTATGTGTGGAATCTAATGACAAATAAAATAGATCCAGAGACATGGATACATGGAACAGACTGACAATTCTCAGAGGAAAGGGGCAGGGCGGGGGCGGGGGCTGGAAGAGATTAACCAAAAAACATGCATGCATATATGTATAACCCATGGACACAGACAACAGAGTGGTGAAGGCCTGGAGGGGGTCAATGGGTGAAAAAAGGGACATCTATAATACTTTCACCAATAAAGACAAAAAATAAATTCACTTCTGTGATGATACATCATTGAATTAATATTTGTACCATTATAGATCAAATGTAAAGCCTTAAAAAGCAGCTGCATCAGCCCTGGCCAGTAGGGCTCCTTTGGTTGGAGTGTGTCCCACACATGCAAAGGCTGAGGGTTTGATCCGGTCAGGGCACATACCTGGGTTTTGGGTTCAGTCCCCAGTTGGGGCAGGTATGGGAGGCAACTGACTGTTTCTCTCTCCCTATCTCTCTCTAAAATCATGAACAGAGCCATGAGTGAGGATTTTTTTTTTTTAAATCAGTTACAGCAAATGCTTCAAAGACTAAAGTTCTGTTGCTTTATGTTGAAGTTTGATGAGATCTAATTTACCATTTTTCCATTATTTTATTTTTTCATCCTTCAAGATCTGAAATTAATATGGTAGCTCTGGGCCTCAGTAACAGAACTGCTGTTCAGTAGCCTGGTGGATGCACAAGTGTGTGCGGAGGGGGAATTGCTTCTGTTAATAACACTCAGATGCGCCTTCATTTATTTTATTGAAATAGTGATATATGTAAATACCATTACTGCATTATGTAATAGATTGCAACAATATGTTGTTTAGCAGGATCTCTGTTTAAAATTGTTTGTGTGCATGACATTCTAGCTTGTAGGCATACACACGCGTAAAAATAATTCTACGCCACCCACCCCCTGCCCAGTCCCTGGACAAACAGAACCTGAGGGCACCATGTTCCTCGATGGCACTCCCGGCCGGGCATCGCCCTGCACGCCGTCCCCCTCTCCCTGGGATCCAGGCCGAGGCTCCCACCGCCCCCAGCGTGCCAGGCGGGACCGAGGAGGTAGGAGTGAACGCACCGCAGTGGGTCTCAGAAGCAGTGGGCCCGGAGGATGTCCTGGAGGGTGATGCTTTTCTCTCGGGTTTCTGAGGGGTTTCACTGGAGTTTCCCAAAACAGAACAAATCGAAAGCCACGAAACGACACCAAACCCCAGGACGCTGCAATGTCAGTAGAGGCATGCCCATGCTCCTCTGTTACAGAGTGAACGCCATCCACTCCATCCACCAGCATCTAGTGTCCCTTCCGGAACCCGAGGCAGCGGCCTGCTTCAGGGTTTCTGCTTCACACACCGAGGCTCGGGCTGTCAGCTCCACGCTCACCTGTGACCTCTCGAACCCGGGCAAGCGGTCAAAGGGAAGCTGGGCCCCGGGCGCATTGGTGGCCTGTCTTTCAGGCGGTTTTCTGCTGGAAGATGACGGAGCAGTGACGCCGGCAGGTGAGTGGAATGCTGATAACATGGCATCTCAGAAAGGTTCAGTTCCTTAGTTTCAAAGTAAAGGAGCTCAGGCAGACTCTAAAATGTCTTTTAACTTGCCATTGGGCTGACACTCAAAGTCAAACTGTCTTAAAATCTCAGCAAAGAGAAAAAGTGAATTATTTTGGGTATGAAAATGACTAAAGCTGAATAAAATATACAGAAAGTATTTGCCAACCCTCTGATACTTCATGACCCACTCGGCCTCCTAGAACCTCGGGTGAGTTATCCAAACAGCATTTTGGACACCAACTTTCCAACTGAGCGAACGGCAGTGCAGCCGATAAAAGACCTCAGACAGATACCCTAAGGATGCTGCCAGTGAGCCTTCACGCGGAAGGTCGGGTCGTTGTAGTAAAAAGGCTGGAATGTGGAGCTGGGCCTGAGCGTACCAGGCGGGGACAGCCCGGAGAGAGAGGGGGTGCTCCCGCTCACCCCTCACCCACCCAGTTCTGGGGGAGGAGGGAGGATGGGGTGGAGGGACCGGACCTATCAGAATCCAGGGGAGAGAGGGTGCGGATTTGGCAGCGCCTCACGTTCCTCAGCCCCCATCTCGCCCTCCGGTTGACCTCTGTTCTGGAAACTCAAGGAGGCCTATACTTTTTTTCTGTGGAGTTCACCAAGCCATGGAGCAATCGGGAATAATGCTATTTGCCTGGTTCTCAGCAATGCCATGAGGTAAAATTTAAGGAAAACTTAGGTGGAATTGTATAATTCCATGCCTGAAACGGGAAAGTTCTTTATGGTGGAAGCTGGGACAGAACATGCCTCCTACAAGCATGGCAGCGCGGTAACCCTATAGGCCCGGCAAGCTAACACTGAGAACCGATCTCCTCCAGAAACGGGATACCATGCTGGCGGCACAGACAGGGGAGCGGGCGAGCCAGGCGGATGAGGTGACGGGAGGCACAGGGTCACCGGGAACAGGACCCGGCTCCCTCGGTAACGTGACCGCAGCGCGGGGTCCATCGCCAGGTCACTGGGACCGTCCACACAGGACACCTTGTTTTCATCCTGGGCTTGTTGGCTCAGTTGATCAAAACATCATCCAATGTGATGAACTCTAGGTTTTTGCTTCCAAAATAGGAGAACAGAATTTTAAAGAGTTTTAGAATTTGGGAGTGAAATTAGTGAAACTCTGATGCCGTGGTTTTCGAACGCTGGCACTCCGTGGGGACATGATCCAATCCCACAGCTGGTGCCCACGCTCTTGTCCACTCTGCTGGACGCTAGTCGACTTGCTACAACTCCAGTGCCAACAGCTCACCAGGAATCTCCAGGAGACATGCTTCGGTAAAAATTGGAGCCAGGGAGGTCAGAAAAGTGACTCCAAATGCCCCCTCTGCTATTGGGGGACAATGTGTCCTCATCAAGCACCCACACTCGTAGTCAAACGGGGAAATTACTTCTGATCCTCGTTCTGCCTTTCCCGTGTCCATGTTGCTCTCCGTGGTTCTGCACTGAACCAAAGAGAGTCCTCAGCGCCTTCGGACGGAGAGAAAGGGCTTCTTCACCTTGGTTGCCAGTTGCGTCCATTGTTGAGGTGCACTGGTCTTCAGGGTCTGGTTAGAGAACCAGCTCCTGGAAAAAACGATGTCTTAGGCATTGCCCAGCTGCCCTCCTGTGGTTTGCCACGAGGCCTGCACACGGGGCGAAGGCAGATGTGGTAAGGACACCAGGGAGCCGGTGGGTGCAGCTCTCTGGAGCCTCTCTCCCTCTGAGGACACAAATCTGTGCATGAGCCACAGCGGGCTAGGGAGCCGGGATCTGAGAGCTGACTAGGTTTTGGACAATTAGCTAGCAGAGGGGCCATGGCAACACTTCATACCTACCTACTGTCTAACAAGGCAGTTTCTAAAGCATGTGTTTGTACTGATTTCAGAGAGGAAGGGAGAGGGAGACACATCAATGATGAGAGAGAATCATTGATCAGCTGCCTCCTGCACACCCTACACTGGTGATAAAGCCTGCAACCCGGGCCTGTGCTCTGTCCAGGAATTGAACCGTGAGCTCCTGGTTCATAGGTCAACGCTCAATATTGAGCCACACAGGCCGGGCAAGGCAATTCTTGTCATGCCCACAGCTACCACATGTGTACCCCGTCCTCCCCATGGGCAAATGAACCCAAACTTCCTCCTTGCTGTCCAAGCTGGTTGTGGGAGGTCATGCTTATGGAGGATGGATTCAATGATCTATTGCCTGTTCTTTCCTAAATCAGGGTTTTGCAACCGTGGCACAACTGACATCGAGAGCCGGGACCTTCTTTGCTGAGGGCTCTTGTGCTTTGCTGGGCGTGAGGCAGCAGCTCAGCCTGAGCCCTGACGACCAAATGTGTCCACAGGCATTTCCAAAGGGCCCTGGGCAAAACTGATCCACTTCACTCTAAGTTTTCTTTTCAGATTAAGCTAGAATCACCTGAAACCTACAGAATTGAACCACAATGTTGCAGATAAAACTGTGTTTGGTA